ATCAGACCAGATCTAATCAAAACAGACAAATCAAGTTAAAAAAAAAACAGTCCAATCTTAACGTTTTTAATGAAGTGCTTCCTAAAATTTGAACTCCATATGTATTAGAATAGAATTCATTCAACCTCCCGAAAGTATTCATGAGTAAAATTTGGTATCAATTAGCTTACATGAAGTTATATAATCGATATACAAGAAGAAGTGAGATAGACATACAAAATTAAATTAGCTTATTATGGAGTTAAGCATTCACATTTTAAAAATATTCATGAGTAGTCAAACATCTTGTGGTTCGATGGCATCACTGTGGCACTCTGAAGGGGAGGTCACAGGTTCGAAACTCATCCCAATCAAGGATGTTGGCATTTAAAAGAATATATACTATAAGAAAGAGAGAAAGTCCAGTCCAAAAAAATATTCATGGGTAAATTTTTATTTGTCACCAAAAATTGAGATGATGAATCATGATTAATTTGGCACTAAAATGAAAAAAAGGACTTTAATATTATATAGGAAACCCCGGAAAATAATCCCTTCATAACAATCTAATTGAGAAAAAACAATCTTAAAAACATTTTTAAATCATGAATATGAATTTTATTCATGTATGAATTTTTGCAATGAGTTCATTTAATTTTATAAGTCAATGTTTCGAAATAAAGGTAAGATGTGTTTAATAGCTCCAATCGGCTCCAAACCACCAATTTCTCAATGAGATTATTGAGCTAGAATAGAATTGTCTAGCCTATGATATTCATTTTCCGATTTTTAAAACTGCGCTCATACAACTTTAATAATACCATTATACTTGAAAACTCAAATTTTCATAAAATATCGTATGCATAACAGAGAAAGCAAGTTTACATGTATAACTTTGCCAATAACATATCAGTTATATAGACATTCTTTATACTCAATTATATTTAAAATATATATATATATACTCAATTATCTTAATTAGAAATATAGAATATAATGCAATATTTTAATCCATAGATATATGCATCCTTTTTGTCAAATATTTAAAAATTGAAACATATATTACTGACCTCCAAACCTGAAATGCCCAGACTTGTATCATACCACAAATCTTGGATATCTTCTAAGTATGAATTCAAGTATCTACTTTTTCAAAAGGCAGCATGTATAATTATTGGAAAATATCTCATCCTAATAGATCTTAGCGACTTTTGAAGATACAATTGGCGTATGATAAAACAATAATATTATAACCCGAACTAATGTATTTTAAGCAGTTCTTTCATTACGTACGGTTGACATGAAAATCAGAAATCTAAAAGTCATATACAGGAGAAAATGAAAAAAAAAACACAACATCAAGACTCGATTACAATCACCTCAGCTCGAAGATAACCAATTTGTGTATAATGTCGAACCCTCAGAAGTTGACACAATCCTTTTAAATAAGGGTGTGAAGATTCTATTCTGATTTCCACACAAGAGTGTGAAAATGAAATGAGAATTTTGAAACTAAAGTGTAAAAGGAATCAAAAAATACTCAATAAGATGAAAAGTTGTAGTAGGTAGAGTGAAATAAAAGAAATTGTACTCTATATATAATGATATAGAAGGTGAAATGGTATGATGACATAATTGTATGGCTAGGAAAAAAGAACCTTTTATATATTATTTAATTCAATATAATATCTACAAGTACTAAAAGGAAATGAAAGGGGAATATTAAAGAATAAAAATCTTTTAAGCACCCCAAATTATTTCAATAAAATTGTTATAAAAAAAGTTTTAATAACTTCCAAATCATTCATACAATGGAAAAAAGAGTGAAACATAATAAAATGAAAGTGGGAAAAATTAAAATAGCAAGACTGCATATGTTAAAATTTGCTAAAATGTAAATTTGACATAATGTTATCTCAAATTTATGTTCGCCTTTCTAATTAATGATATTTTTCACTACATTCAACCTTTTGATCTCATATATGAAAGTTCAAGTTATTTTTACTTTACTGTATGTATGGAAAAATTATTTTAAATACCCCGAACTTTTAATAGGTGTGAGATAAACACCCCAAATTTGCACATGTAATAAAAAGACCACAAATTTTATATAATTTATCTTAGCAAATAATAATATGTTTTTGTTTCACAAAATTTAATTTGTAGTGTTAAAATATAAAATTTAAAATGCTTTGGGCATTTATATGGATGAAATTATTATCCTAGCTTCAATATTTTAAATAAAAAAACATTAATAAATATGTTTTGAATGTTAATTGCACACTAAAAAATTATTACTACCCTCATCCCACTATCATTAGGACATGAGAGGATGACACGATTATTAAGAAAAGTGAGTTATTGAATTGATAAAGTAAGAATGAAATAAAAATGATTTAGTGCACACAAACATTACGGAATTTGGTATGAACAATCTTGGTGGATTTCCGAAAAGGAAAAATGGGACAATCTTAACGGGACGGAGGCAATAGAATATTTAAGTAATTTACTTAAGACTATAAAATTACATTTGTGAAAGAAAAAACATATGATTTCTTAAAAAACAAAAGGATTATGATGCTAAAATAACTCTTTATATAAAGTTTGGGGTACAAAAAAATAATAAATAAATAAAAAGTTTGGGGTACTTATATCAGTTATACAAGTTTCGGGTGCTTACCTCACTTCTCTCAAAAGTTCAAGGTCTTTAAATTATTTCCCCCCCTATATATATTAATATAATCTTAATATATTTTGGTCGAGAGTTTCAGCTCTTGGAAAGTTTTATTAATTACATATGATATCGTGACACTAAAAATGGTGTTTAAGAGCTAGATAAATACGCTAGACTGTATATAAAAGATACATAGTAATTCTTTTTCTCATGGATGTAACTTTAATATAATATTATTTAGTCATGAAAATTGAGATCATTTTTCATTTTTGAATATGACGCATTTGTCTTTTTTATTTTTCATTGCATAATTAATTTGACATGTTTATGTTTCGATTATAGCTACCTCTCGATGTGATGAGAATATTTTTATAGGTATTATTCATCACCATCTGGGGAAAATTGTCTATTAAAAATCTAAAGCAATCAACTTTTTTCGTTCAATAATATTTATTTTACTCATTAAGATCCTATATATCTTCAATAACTCAATCTAATGAAAAATAAACCGATCACTATAAATCACAATATGCAACCTATTGTCACCGTTATCGCCTTCATTAAAATTGGAATGTCACAGAACTATATAATCTGAATTGTTTTCTTAAAAAAGAGATCAAAAGACTAATTTGAAAATTTCTAAAACCTAGAAGGGCTAATATCTTAAAAAAGGTGAATACACCCATTTTTGGATAAATAAATTAACAAAATGTGTAGTTAATTTTGAAAAAAAGTAAGCCACAAATGAAATTTAATGTATAAAAATAGGCATTGATCGATCATTTTCTTATTGTTTAGATAAAGATAGATTAATTTCTGGTGGATGCAACTGAGAGTTATAGAAAATATGTTTTTTTCATTGAAAAATATAGACTGCAAACATGTTTAGAATTAGTTCAAAAATAATATATATATACTCAATGTATTAGAATATGCATTTTAAACAAATGTTATAATCAACTAAATAAGTGATTTTTCGTTACTAAAAGTAAATAATAAAATTATGTTATCCCGTGCACGACACGAGTAAAAATATTATGAATATGTCATGTATCAAACTACATCAAATAAGCAACAGAGCAAGCAACTCTTACGGCTTTAATACTTTACCTAGGGGTGGGAAAAATGGTTTGGTTTAACCGAACCAAACCGAAAATTGGTGGTTTGGTTTGGTTTGGTTTGGGTTCACTTAAGTAAACCGTTTGGTAAGAATTTGCTCAAACCGAATGGTTTGGTTTGGTTTAAAACCGAAAAAAACCGTAAACCGAACCGAACACCGAACAACACAGACACACATATAATATAATTTGTATTTATCTTCACTCTTCATTTTTAAGATGGTTTGGTTTGGTTTGGGTTCACTTAAGTAAACCGTTTGGTAAGGATTTGCTCAAACCGAATGGTTTGGTTTGGTTTAAAACCGAAAAACCGTAAAGCGAACCGAACACCGAACAACACACACACACACATATAATATAATTTGTATTTATCTTCACTCTTCATTTTTAAGATAAAAATAAATAGTTTAGATCATATGAAAAATACATATTTAACATATATCATTTTAACTTTTACACATTCCATACATTCATTATCACAAAGTTTTGCTAATATATACAACATATTTGTTTTTGTTAAGTTTGACTACAACATTTGTACCACCGACTCCTTTAGTTTTTACTTGAATATTTTATGTGATACTTCATATTATAAATGCTAATCAACTACGATAGTATAATCTTATTTTTGTGAGAAGTGAATCATTTTTTAGTGATGGAAAAGATGTTTGAAGTTTTAATTCATAATGTTTATTACTACCTCCGTCCCATATTGGTTGTCCACTTTCAATTTGGCACGATTATTAATAAAATGATTGAAAAGTAAAAGTTGTGGTTGTGATTTGAGTAGAATAAAGTGAAATAATAAGAACCACATATTTTTTGCCAAAAAGGAAACAAGACATTCATTTTGGGACAACCCAAAAAGGAAAGTAGGACAATCAAAATGGAACGGGGGGAGTATTTCTTTTTCTATCGTTTATTTCCTTTTACATTTTATTTAAATAATCAATAAAAGAAGATGAGATAGACTATTACTTTCATTTTCTAATTCTAAAATATAAGAACTTAATTAAATTAAATAAAATTATAATAAACATAAGAAAACAAATCAAATCGAACTAAATTAAACCTAATACTTTTCACTTTGGTAAACCGAACCGAATTGAAACCGAACCGAAACACAATTGATTTTAGTTTGGTACAAATTCCCTCAACCCTAATAAACTGAAACGGAAGAAAAAGGAACCTTAAACCGGTTTGCCCACCCCTAACTTTACCATTCTAAAAAAAATGAAAACTGCATACGACGTCGTTGAAGGATATCGTTTTGCAACGGGGCCATTTTGGGCTGTGGCGCCGTCGCAACACACAAACAGAATGACGGCAACAAGAAGTGTGCCTTTACCGCGGCGGACAGAAACCAGTGGGGACTGGTGAGCAGTTAACTGTGCTTATGATACCGATAGCAGATTTTTCCTTCGGAGAACGAATTGTTACTAAGCTCAAAGTGCACACACCTCGTTCGTAGAAAATGGTGACGAGCTGACCAGTGGCAATCCGCACCGATGTATGCGGTTAGGTTTCTACGTTTGATTACAACAAGATCTCCTCTTTCCTTTATCAATGGAAATCCTGTTTACTCACCGTCCAGAGCTTCGTGTAAGTCCACTTCTTCTTGGCGTATGCTCATTGCATAGCTTAAATTATCCTTATGTTTCGATACCCAACTCGATTCAATCAATTTCCTTCGCAGATGATGTAACATTTGGTCATTTAATAGAATTGCTGACGAAAAGCCCAAAACCTCAAGCTTACGGTTCAATGTCAAAGTTCAGAAATCCATTCCATGCGCAAAAATGCCATGAGCAGCTCCCTAAATTGAAGGATCAGGGTCAGGTTTAACGCATTACCATATTCAAACTGTTTGAGCACACGCGCCTACCCGTTAAATGCCAGTAGTACTATATATAGTTCGTTTTCCCCCCAAAGAGTGCTGCTGTCTATATAGTAATTGAGTTCAATGATGAATTGCTCATGTGAATAACCAATTAGGTATTTCCAATGCATCAGGTTGTATTTTATTTGAAGTTAAGCACAGCGTTTTCATGCTCCCATAGGTAGCCATAATCAGTTTATTATGCTTACCTACCTTATGCGTTTTTATTAGTTACATACATGTTATCACCAAACACTTCCTTTCAGAAAATTCAGCTGATCTAGCCATTTAAACCAAATAATCTCTGGAGAGTTGGAATTTGCACCTCACTTTCAAAACTATTAATATTTGGGGAAAATATTTTAAATACCCCACACTTGAGAGGGCTGTGAGCCTGTGAGGCAAGTACCTCAAATTTGCATATGTAATATATATACCCCGAATTTCATATGAAAAGTTAGCTTAGCACCATAACCATTTTTTTCTTTCGCAAATGTACTTTTATATTGTTAAGTACATAATTCAAAAAACAATAAGACTTTATGATGATGAAGTTATCATTATAAACTTCCATTTATTAAATAAATAATATTACCTCTGGTCACATACAATGAACTCAGTCTTTCTTTGTTTTTAACAGTTCAAACACTTTAGCACCCTGAAAACAACTTCATCTTAAAAATTTTCCATAATAATCCAAAATCTCCCGATGTTAACATACTCTATTTTAACTTTTATGCTATTCAAACACTATACTTTGACTTTATTTTATTTATTAATGGATTAAATGATTGCACTAAATAAAAATATTATAAAATTTGTCCTAAATTAAAATATCAAACTATCACGTTTATAAATGTATACTAATAATCAATTAAATATGTTAATGGTCAAAGCTGTTGTTTGCAAATATTAAGTTAAAAGTGTTGCAATTATATAGACCAGAGGTAAAATTATTTTACAACTAAAAAATGCTCAGTGTATTTAAATTATTTATCTAACACCATAAATTTACACTTCTGAAAGAAAAAATATATGATCACGGTGGCATGGTGCTAAGATAACTTATTTTATAAAATTTGGGGTATTTATATTACATATACAAGTTTAGGATATTTATCTCACACCCTTCCAAAGTTTGGGGTATTTAAATTATTTTTCACTTATTATTTGCTCTGTGAAATTAAAGAAATAGCTAAAATGGAAGTAAAACTTGGGTTATCCTTTAATTTTCAGAGTGTACGTATTAATGATTTTGAAAACGTGGGGTAAGCTCAAATTTAGACGAGAAACTTGGGTGCAAACTCAGATTCCCCAAAATCCTTACTAAACATGCCTTAGAAAGCACCAGTAGTCCCAGGCTGGCAGACTGGGGGCATGCAAGTAGTTGAGCTTAAGTGGAACCAACATAAGAGAACATGTGATGACCAGAGTGGTCAAAGAAGGCCTAGCTCCTAGGTGGTATGGCAGTACCTTGTAGCACTACTAAACATTGCAGCTTTAGCATTTTGTTTTTTGTGTTTCAATAGATGTCAACAGTTTATCTACATTATTTTTGTGAAAGCCTAAACACCTTCCGAGATGTTGATTATTTTTACCCATTGACATTCTCTTAGGAGGTAATTTCACTTGGTGCAATGCTGTTGGTTTATCAGCACTGCTCGGATCAATTAGCATGTGGCCCCGGACTGCATATGCGATGGATGGTAAGTGATTAGAATACTGTGTATTGGATGTATGTCTCAAAGGTGTCTAATGGTTTCCTCTTCTGTTGTATGTTGAAGACTTTGGTGCTTTTTTGGATGATGGTCACAGCTTGGGCTTAATGGAAAATCCCAAAACTAAGAAAGACCACAGGACTTTCTTTGTCTTACTAAAGAAACTAATTGTTCCTATTTTCCTAGTGGCAACTATTTTTCTAAATTTGGGTCATCCTCTCATCCTTGCTGCAAAAGTAACTCTTATTCTTTACATGACGAAGCCCAGCCCTCTCTCGATTTATCTCTTTGTTGAAGAGGTAAGTAACTTTGTGATTATGTTCTCCTCCTTTGTGAAGCTCAAAATAGCTGAAGTTGATGTACTGTGGTCAAATGTGATAAAATTGCTAAAATTTCGTATAGAATGGTTTTGTATCTGCTGAATTATTTAAAAAAAATTAAAGAATATATTTAAATAAATTAAGGAATATAGTATCCAATATAAAGCTAAAACTCTAAAAGTATCAATGCCGTCTTTTGAGCTATTTCAGCTAAAAAAAAGTAACGATGCATTAATTTTTTAGAGCCCATATTTTCAACTTATCAGCCTCACCGAACATGTAACTTTTGATTTCGCACTTTGAATTATGTAATAATCAAACTAAGTAAGGTTGAAATCATTTTTATGACTGAATTGGTTGAAGTTAGTGCAGATGACCATTTCAGCTATTTTCATACTACCTCCGTCCCGTTGGACTTTGCCAAGTGCAAAGTAGGTGAGAAATAAGAATAGTAAAAACTGTGTGGTTGAGATTTGTGTAGAGGAGAAAGAAATGTGCAGAACCACAAATTAGTTGCTTTAATAGGAAAGTGGCAAAGTTTTTTGGGACAACCAAAAAGTGAAAGTTGGCAAAGTCCAATGGGACGGAGGGAGTATATATTTTTCTTATTTTTTAATAGAATATATTTTAAATGTGTTTTTACATCATTCAACAAATTTTGTCAATTGAGGATTTTCATCTAGAATTTCATGAATTTCAGCAGATTCAGCCAATATGAGTGTTACCAAATGGGGTCTTAGTTATCTAATAATTATTTGTGCTTGATGGAAAGCTACCTGATAAGCCAAATTCATTGCCTTCCAAATGGACTCTAAATCCCCTTTGATAAGGAGGATAATTCGGATGAAATGGTCGACTCTACTTAATTTTTTGAAATAGGAAATACATGTTGTAACATCTGTTTAAGACCAAGTATACAAGTCAAAAGCTACCTCTATTGTTGATAAGCAGAATAAGCGAGAACTGGTTTATTTACTTAGATGCTCACTACCATTAAATAGCAATGGGGTTGACATGTCTCTACTCTCTACCAAATATTTCAGATACGAAATCAAGTCATCTGTAAACATCCATTCATTTTTCAATTCAAGGTATGTTCGGTTTCTCAGATACCATATGATGTTCGGTTTTGCTCATCCCTTTCAAGTGTACATAACTACATACATGTTGTGTCTTGCAGTCATTGTATGCAAATAAAGTTGAGGTTGAAGATTATGAGATCTTCTGTTTGGCTACAGTGGAACTAAAAGAACAGAAGTTCACTGTAGTTGGATTTCTTGGAAGCTGGTGGGTTTTGCCTGTATCCTCCTCGCGGGAAGATGGATTATTTTCTATGCTCAAGGACAGATTTAAGAAAATTTTAAGTTGAGGTAAGCTGCTAGATTTCATCATTTATTCCTTTAAGGTCAGTTTGTTGGTGAAAATAAATTTTGTTTAGTTGAGGTAAGCTGCTCTAAATGGAAAATATGCCTTTGCTCAAATTGATGTTATTTATTTATTTATTTAATTACTCCCTCCGTCCCAATTTGTAAGATACATTACGGTTTACGATGTTTGACTGACGATAAAGCAAATTGATCCCTGTCAACACTCAAATTATTTTTAGAAAATAAAATTTACATATTCAGAAACTACATTAAAACCGCTACAAAACCTGCAAAAAATAATTCAAATTTCATAAACTTTTGATATATAAAATAAAAGATTAAAAGTGATTTGTGTTGACCAAGTGAATAGTAAATGTATCATACAATTTGGGACTGAGGGAGTATTTATATTATATAAAGATTAAGAAATATAAACATACTTCAACAAAAATAGAATCCTAACCTTATTTACTTTTCTTTCATATTTTTCAAGGTAAAACTAATCACAAGAAAATAACTTTACCTAGTTTTTTTTCCCTCTTCTCTCTGTCATTTGATGGATTCCAAACATAGTGTGATTAGAGTCAGTGTTCGTGTTGTTAAATGAAGTAAAATTTGACAGATATGGGGAGAAGATATATAGAGAGGGAAATAGAAGCTAGGGTTACATTGGTTAAAAATAAGTACGAGTATTTTACGTAGTGCAAGATAATGATACACACAGTCTATAATGAATAAAGGGACTTCTTTCACCCTTCCCTATAAATAAAGACAATATTGAACCCTTGGATTATTATCTAGCATGTCTCACTTCTTTGTTTTTCTTTTTAGGTTTTGTTGTATACAAAATGCAGTGTAGAGAGGTTATGGGCGTGTTGTTATCCAATATATGCCAAAAGTGCAAGCTGAGGGAGGAACAGCTGCCTAGCATAGTAGCATACTAGCATGGAACTTATTGAGGCTCTATTTACTTTCAATTTCTTTCTATTGTACTCGTATCAATACTATGTTGTCTGCCTTTCATAAATTTTGCTTCAATTAGTCAATAAATATTCCTATGTAGCCTGCATTGCTGCAACTCTATAGCATTATAATTATTCCTAAAAGTCAAGTCTATTTTTTACATTTTGAGTTATGAATAACACAGTAACTGGATGTCTTTTTTCTGATTTAAATGTCATGGTGCTGGTGTGCGACTAGGGATGGACAGGGATTTGGGCGGGACTGGGTTTGATGGCCCGGTACCGGCCTGGGTTGGTTCCGGGATTGGGCCGGGTCGGGTCTTTTTTTTTTTTAAATTTTGGGTTTTCTTATTTATTCCTACCCCCCCCCCCCCAACCACCCAGCCCCAACTGCATAGCACCCAATTGACCCAATTCATTAGGGGAAAAAACATTGGGCCCGGATCGGTTCCGGACCAACCGGGCCGGTCCATCAAATCCCCATCCCGGAGCCCGCCCCAAACCCCCACCGGTTCGGGCCCAAGGCCCAGTCCCGGCCGGTCGGGTTGGGCAGATACAACAAGTAGCGGTCCGGGCCGGGTACCGGGCTGGTCCGACCGGGCACAGTCCATCCCTATATGCAACTATTATGTTTTAGGAAAAATGACAAAATAAGACTTCCGGTTTTTTATCGGACAAAATAGGACCAAATTTTTATTCCATCATTTGCAATGGAGTCAAAAATTCACTATTTTTTGGTTTGGAAATATGATGGAATAAGCAAAATGGCTCACTAAATTATCTGTGCTTCTTTGTTACGAAGCAACAGTCAGTCTGCAATTTTCTATGCGATTCTCACTATGGGTCATTCGGAAACAGTCTCTCTGTACTTTAGTACGGGGATAAGACTGTGTACATCCGACCCCCCCCCCCCCCCCCGCTTACTCCACCGTAGGTGGGAGCTTTTTTGCCACTAGGGTAATGATGATGATGAAAATAGGACCAAATTTTATTTTGAACAAAAATGTGATGGAAGTCCCAAATACCCATTAGTTAAATCCTCTAAAATATTAAAACTTCCATAGGCATCCTCAGTTAGGAATGGACCCAGGGCGGGCAGTACCGGTTCTAGATTAGTGGAGCCCGGTATGCTCTGATACTGATCCCGTTTTGGGCCCAAATAGTATCAGGCTCGGGTCAGGCCTAGGTAGTATCCACCCATTTAATTAATTTTTTAAAAAAACAATAGTCGTTGGGCCTGGGCCCGGGCGGGCCCATAATTTGAAGTCCGAAGCCCATCTCGTAACTCCACTGGTTTGGGTACCAGGTTGGTCCCGGTCCGTGCCTAGTCAATCCTTGTCATCGGTGATCAAGTTTGGCTGTCTTTCTTGTTCATCGAACATCCTCAACTTGAAACGCTTCCATCACTTGATTGTCGATGACTGATGGCTGCATGAGCAACATGCGGTGGCAAAGGTGACTCCACCAATTGTGATGATGACCTCAACACAGATGATATCATTTGATTGGTTTTCCTCTTCTCCTTCTATGATTGAGTTTGACAAACATTAATTGTTCTCCTCATTCTTTTTCTTCTTTCTTCTCCTTGGTTGCTACTCCCCCTCATGTTTGAAATGTCTATCGTCACCACTCTGGTATATTGAGATCCAAATTTGTGGTTGGACCCTAGGGTTTCACTGCTATGTAGGATATCAAGTCATGAGGCCAGCTTCGTAGGGCTGGGGTTCCGACATGTGAGGTCAATACTGGTGGTCCAATGAGGGGCTATTAGCTCCTCGACCGCGGCTTCACATGGGTTTGGTTGTGCAGGGCAGATTCATAGGGTAGGTTTCTACCCTAACGACAGTGATCACTGGTGTTAATGGCACTGGTGCTGGATTCTGGCCGACATTAGTCACTCTCGGGTGGTGGTCACTGTCAAGTCAGGTAATTGTCGCTAGTAAAAGTCATGTCTCTTTTTCTAAAATCAAATTTGTTTTTGTCTATGAGTTCTTTTTTTGTTAAAATTCAAAATCCCTAAAAACTCAAAACCCCTATATTTTATCCACAATAATGTGCGAGTGAATTCTTGAAATTTAATGCATCCACTCTTTCGTGGAAAGATGCAAAATTAAAATAAATAAACTACCAAGTATGAATTAAGGCATATGAGCATATCTTTATTTTAAGGTTGAAATATTATTCTCGTACCTACAAATAGTATTTTTGTTTTGGTTTTAAGTTCTAGCAAACATAATTTTTTTGTATATGCCTTTTGTTCACATCATTTTTCATTTTCGTTTCTATGTCAACCTCAGATTAAAATATTTGACTTGATAATGGTTTACGTAACACTTCTATTTTGGGCAACACGTCTAATCTTATCTTATCTCACCCCACCCCACCTTATTATTCAAAACTCTTGCCTTTTCTCCTCTCTCTTGTCTCTCTAATCACTCTCCACAAGAGCTGCCGTCCCTATACCTCATCTTCACTGCTGTTATCCCTCTAACTTGTCTTCTTCACCCACAACGATCTACCCCATTTCTTCATTTGTAACCCCTGAGCCACCTTTAGATATGGGAGAAAGTCGACTAAAACATGGCCTTTGCACTTAAATAGGACCGATTGCTTTTATAATCCTAAATAGGACTAAAGTTTATTAAAGGGACCAAATTACCACTGCATTCATACGGAGTAGTCTTCGTGGGCTGAGGCAACAAACTCTCTCTCCAGCTCCGTACAAAAGGTGAGTCGCCGACCCCCTGTGCCCGATTCACTAAAAGAGAAGAGGAGAAGGTGTACTCCGCAATTAGCAAATGCATTAATCGATTCATCCATCGGCCACCATCAATTTCATAGACCGCCGCTGGGAGCTGCCACAACTGCTGCCTGGAGCCGCCACCCGCCATCGGGAGCTGGCGACCGCCGCTGCGAGCTGCCGCAACAGCTGCCTGGAGCCGCCATCCACCATTGGGAGCTGGCGACCGCCGCAACCGCTGCTTGGAGCCTCCATCCGCCGTCCACCACCGGCCACCGCACCCTGCTAAAACGCTGGATAACTCTTCAAGGCACTATTGACGCATATGTCAGCAAAAGCTACTCCTCTGGTGAACTACTGGTCTGCTAGAGAAATGCTGTTGCTCTCCTTTGGCGTGAAGCTGCCAATGCATAGTTCTATCTATTCGTGACTTTTTTTTTGCTTTTTCTTCAATTTTATTCCGTTCTCTACATTTTTTCCCATCTCTTTTTATTATACTCCCTAAATTATAAATTTCACTCTTTTACCATATAGATTATAATTTTTTTATACATCAGAAACAAATACAGTATGGATTATGACAACCTAGTATAATCTCATTGTTATCGAAACAAAAAATACAATGCCAAAAAAAGTTACAATGTCGTCAAATATGTCACAATGTAAAACATTATCATTATAAAAAATAAATTTTAAAATGTTAGGTATCAATCATTTTCGAAGCAATATCACTATATTATAAATATCACTCCATATATTAAATGTAGAAAAAAATGGAATGGGGGCATATATAAACATGTCACATTGTCAAATAATGATGATCTGAAAATTAATGTCAATGTTATAAAAGTCACATTGCAACAATGACAATGTCAATACCAATGATAATATCGTGACAATATTATACACATTTTAAAAATGAACTAAAAATGTCGAAATATCGTAAAATGTTATCATATCCAATAATGGTTATGTTAATGTTATATAAAATGACATTATAGTCATGACAATGACAATTGTAATATCGACAACAATCAAAATAATATTGTCATAGTTTTAATGCTATAAAAATAAAAGTATTAAAAACAACGTCAATGACACAATATTGTATGTATTGTAAAAAAGAAAGAAAGAATGTTACAATGTCATAAAAATATCAAAATGCTAAAAAAATCACAATGCCAAGTAAAATCATACAATGTCAAACATTACCACTTAAACATTAACAAAATAAACAATTTCTCAATATTACAAACATTGTCAAAATGTATGAAGGCGTCACAATGTCAAAAAATGTCACAATTCTGTATAATGATGATGTCAATGTTATAAAAATGACATTATAATGACAACAATGAAAATGACAATGTCGTGGCAATGTCAATCAGACTATCGTGACAATGTCAATGACACTAACGTGACAATGCCAATGTTAGAAAAATGACATTGTTAAAAACAATGCCAATGTGACATTATTGTAAACATTGTTAAAAAGAAATAATTCTGAAAATGTTAACAATGTCATTATATGACATTGTCATAATTAAAAGGTAGAAAATATGTCAATGCTACTATGAAATCACAAGATTAATTGAGTATATACATAATCAGCCCATCTGCGCATGCAATTTAAGTAAAGTGCCCAAAACTCTTCTCAACAAAAAATGCAAAACAGGGACAATTTTCATGTAGGCATTTCATCAAACAATTCTAGGGCAAAAGAACTCATTGATTCATACATACATTAAAATGGAATAACTATTCTCTACATTAAATTTTGTAAATGAAATACTTCGTACAAAAGTATTATCGTACAACTACTGTATTGTCCATTCCAAATTTGATGGTGTTAATCAAATACTCCGTACAAATAAAACTAGGGAAAATAAAAACAAAGAAAACGGCTGTGGCATGAAGAGAATAGAAATATCAAAAGAAAGTAAGAAGGACACGGGTAGGATCGATTGCAGATCCACAAAGAACGGTGCACAAGGAAAGTAGGAAAATAAATTGAGTAGCTCCGATCGATCCCAGATGCACCGAACTGATAGAAGGATTGATTACAGATTACCACGCCGCATACCTACTCCGTTGTGATGACGGCGACAGGGGGTCTTCTCTTTAGTGCTACGTTTGCAGCGCCGCTATGCCCCAGCCCTCCATCCAGTCTGGCTGGCTTCCGCCAATAAGGTGAGTTCCTGGTGGTCTTTGCCGATGACCGAAGTTCCTAAATTAAAGTTAATCTGCGTTCTTAATTTTCAAAGCTGCAACGCCTCTATGCTCGAGCCCTCCTATTCTATTTTTTCCGCTTCACTCCTCTGCTTCGTTGGGAGGAGAGATAGATCGGCGTAGAAAGAGGTTGTCACAGGACTATCGTGATAGGAGGAAGAGATATGAGCGGGGTAAATAAGTCTGACCACACTAAATGAGTCCTATTTACGAA